GTGAATTGTTTTATTCAAACAGAATTATGAATTAAAACAATTCAACTTTGGTCCGATCCAATATAGATTTCACTATTAGAAACTATATCAATGTCTCCACCCATGGAGTCCCACCTCTGACGACCAAGACAAGCCGTCTTCGTTAGGAAGTAGACAACATAACAATCTTAACATGAATAAAGCGCCTAACTTTATTCCCTCGATTGTGGATCATAAGATTTAGACTATCATCTTTAGATTCTTGTCTTCCGCATGTTCTTCACATTACATGCATGACCTAAAGATTTAGAATGACAGTCTCAGACTTTCAGTTTGGTTATCATACATTCAACTATTATGAACATAAAGAGGACAATACATAGATATATAAAATAAATAAATCTTTATTAATAGTCAAAATATCTCAAAGAATATTGTTACATTTATTCCTAAGGGCATAAATGCTAACATTTCCACCTCAGCCCGAAACTCCTGCAAAGAGAGCTTCGATCTAACGGGTGATGCAGTTATGACACCGAAAGTTGTCCCCATTCAAGTGACGTAATACTCATACCCTCCTCTTGCCTTGATGTTCATGGGACCACAAACATCACTATGCACAAGTTCAAGAACATCTTCAGCCCTATTGCCCTTAGACCTAAATGGTCTTTTGGCCATTTTGCCCTCCAAACAAGATTCACATTGGGCTAAGGACTCAAACTTTAAAGAACTTAAAGGTCCATCCTTTACCAACCTCTGTATCATGTTAAGGCTAATGTGACCAAGTCATAAATGCCAAAGATATATCTCATTAAAGTGAGAAGTTTTATGCCTTTTAGAGTTATTAACAATTTCAGTGTTTAGCAGTGAGTCCATCTTAGGTTTGATAAAATATAGATTATTTTGCATCCATCCATCACAGATAAAAGACTTGTTTTTACGAATCACAACTTTATTATTAAAATGAACTGAATAAGAATCCTTAAATAAACAAGCAACAGAAATAAGATTCCTCTTAAATTGAGGAACATAAAAACAGTCTTGCAAAAACAAACTCCTATAACTATCAAAATAAAGATGGACGTCTCCCACTGCTTTAGCCAACACTAGTGTTCCATCGCCCATCCTTAATGAGAAGCTCTCATTTAGAAGACTTCTCATTTGCTTGAACCCCTGCAGAGAAACACACACATGATTAGTTGCTCCAGAATCTATGACCCAGTTGTCACTGGATTCTCCAACCAGACATGCTTCCACAATCTCATGATCACACTCACCTCCTTTGCCTTTAGAGGCTAGGGAGGCTTTGCACTTCTTCTTCTTGTTCTTGCCCTTGTTTGGCGAAACTGAAGAACTCTCCTTCTTAGCTCCTTGCTTCTTCTTTCCATTCCCTGGAGAGGGTTTGGAGGAAGATGCCTCAGCAAAGTTGGTCTCCACAATAGTGGACCCCTTGATCATCCACTCAAACTTTTGGAGTTCTTGCATCAACTCTGTCAGGGTTATATTTTGTCTAGCGCTCAAATTGAACGTTGCCCTAAATGGAATATACTCATTCGACAAAGTCTTAAAGATCATGGTCAAGTGAGACTTAGCATCGATGTCGGCCCCATTGGTGTGAACTTCAGCCAAATAGCCCATCAGCTTCAGCATATATTCCTTTATGGAAGACCCAGCCTTCTATCTACAGTTAATGAGGTTACTTAGGGCTTCCCGATATTTTTCAGCAGCTTGGCCACCGAACATGTCCTCAAGATTATCCATAATCTGATGAGCAGTTATGTAATCTTCATGTTGTGCTTGTAGCACAGTGGACATGCTCGCCATATCGTCAGAGTCCTTCCAGCGTTGATACGCTACGAAAACCTCATTAGGAGCATCAACAGGTGGCTCCGGAGGACAAGGTGTATTTAGTACGAAATTTAGTTTCTCAAAGGTTAGGATGATCTTTAGGTTCCTTTTCCAATCGGTAAAATTCTCGCCAGTTAAATTGTGTTTATTAAGTATCGATGATAATGCGCTAGAAGACATTTTGATCTACAATAAACATTCATATATCTAGTATAAGCAAACTTGCATAAACATTTAGTAATCAAACATATATACATGTTATAATGCAACAAATATGTTTGTGTGTCAAAACCTTGAAAAAATCACAACCTCACAACGATAATTCCCAACTCAAAATTTTGTAAGTCTCCTAGGGGCGATCATGCAAAATTTAATTGGGAACACGGATCCCCTCCGATCAATATATACCATCCAGATCAATCTCTGTCCAGCATATATTGAAAATCATTTTCTTTGGCCATTAATTTAATTAGCAGAGCTCATAGGGGAGATTAATAATTAAATTAATCTTGAGTGTATACCATTGTTTCAACTATTTGATCCATATTTTATAATTGTCACCTAGGGGTGTACAACCATAAAATATGCTCAAATAAATTATCCTCTCGGAGATCCACACCGGGACATAATGAATCTCTTTTTAGGGGTCGGTGTCACCATGTGTTACCTGCGGACCAATGATGGAGGCCATGGGTCTTTTCTTCAAAAACCCTCACCCACTCAATCTTTTTGAAAAACAAGGTTTTATGTTAAAAAATATGCATGCACAATTTTAATGAGCGGCACTCCCTATTCTACATGACATGTTATCACATATATAGCAAATCATATTATATGCAATCATACAAAGCAATTAAGCTAGGCAACAAGCATAATAATAATAACCGTAATATTATGGTTCCAACCTAGAGAAAAGAAAAAATAAAGATTACTAAGAATAATTGAAACATATATCGATCCTTCATCTTGAATCTTCCCGGTTGTCCTTGAATTCTTCATCACGATCAAATTATGGTTATCATAAAATTATTTTTTATGTTTTCTTGAAAAAATCTCAAAAACCTGTAAAATCGTATACTGTCACGTTAGGTCCGGTCGACTGGTGACAGAGCAGTTATACTCAACTGGTCGACCGCCTTACACTAACCGGTCGACCAGTGTCTGTGCGACAGTAACCCAGTTTTTCATAAATCAAAGTAGTTTTTCAATTTACTCAAAAAATACAAAATAATTTTATAAACGAAGAAAAATTAGATACATTTATATCCTTCATCTTCAAGATCCATCTTCAAGATCCTTCTTTAAGATCCATGATAAATCTCCTCCAAGAATTTCTTACACGAAAAATTCCTATACCGTTTTTCGGTTTACAAAATTTCTACTAAAGAAAATAAAATAAACCCTAACGGCAATGATAGACCGTATATCTAATTACATTGTAATGAACAAATTCCTACACAACCATTCTAAACTCTAAGGAACTATAACCCGTAAAAATTAAATAATTAAAAAACCATTGATAATTTATAAATAATAATCAATAATAATTATTTAATCATTCATTCACCATATATTCATAATAACAACATAATATAGAAACCCTAGAGTGCCATCTCTCTAAAATATCAATTCAAGCATAAAAGAGATATTTTTTAGATCACAAATCTCTGTACATAGCATAATCATGAACAAATAACCATGGCTCTGATACCAATTGTCAGAAAATAATGGTATCGAGTGCGCAGCGGAATTTTAAAAAAAATTTAAATCAATGCCAAAGCCAATCAAGAATATGTTCATGTTGCTATATAACATAAATACTAAAGATCTAAATCATACCTTTTGAGATTTTAGGAAACTGCACGCCTGATAGATAGAAGCGTTCCAAATAGCAACCGGAAGAGCCTTAACCAACTGGTCTTCTTTCTTATTCTCGTTTCCACGATCGGAGTGCAGGTGGTCACACATCGTTCAATCTCTTTTTGGTATTCTTGATCTCCTTCCAATCACAAGAGAGTCAAAGAAAAAATTATTCTTGAGAATTAAATAATTTTTCCTCTCAGGAATCTTTTATCAATAGCCTCCAAAGAGTCTTTCAAGTTATCTAATGAGTAGTGTGACTTAATAGGCTATTTATAGTGTTTAGGAAGTCATACTTCCATAATAATTAGGTTTCTCAAAGTCTTAATCGCATCCAGAGTCGATTTTGCCATGTCAGCATGCATTTTACGTTACAACCGGTCGACCGGTGACAGAGACGTTATAACTCACCAGTCGACCCATCCTTCATGAACTGGTTGACCTGACCGGTCGACCTGTGACCGATTTACCCAACCGGTCGACCTGTCTGTACTGACGAAAGTTGTTTTCCTAGTTTTTCAACACGGGAAACTTGCATAGAGCCTCAGTTTTGATTCAAGCAACCCAATAGAGAAATTGCCTGATCAAAACAGTCATATAATAGTCTTCCCATATTAAACAACTCTTAAAACAATAATTCAACCAATTTATCTAGAATTAATTTATCAATTAATTCACCCGATAAATCACTCATGAATTAACCATTCTCATATTAACTTTGAACATCTTTTATGAAAATAACACAAGTTACCGATATGTAGAAAATACGCCGTATCGTTATAGGAAGTTATGTGAGCTAGCAAAGGGACCCGATGGACACATATAAATCAAGCTCCTATAATCACAACGCTACTTGTAAACCAACAAGTCCGTCTCATGATTATAAAACTCTAGCGCTATTCCACTAAAAGCCTAGAGCTGCACTCTCGATTTATATAGCGTATTTACAAAGCTCTGATTAGCTCTAGTCCATGACTCAATATATTAGTGTATCATCCCCATAGGATATCCCTAATCGACTTGAGGTCAAGTTCCGTTTTACCTTCCCGATTACATTTATCTTATGTTCCATTATCATACAATCAGAAAAACACTATTCGTACAATTACAAACAATAAACCATTAGATAACACAGAGTAGTCTAATGGCCGAGCACTCGTATTTTTCAATCCACTGATAATGCATAAGAGGATAACATTGACTCTCTATAGGAGCTATGGATTCCACTATCTATGAATAACGAATCTACGCATACACGAGTCATACCCCCAATGTACCGGCAAGCATACCTTTACATAATGTCAGGATGTCTCCCTTTAGTACATCAAAGGATACAAGTCAAGCATACGGGTTCATCATCCATCTCAGGATTAAGATGACAACATATAATTCGTCAAAAGTGAATTGTTTTATTCAAATAGAATTATTAATTAAAACAATTCAACTTTGGTCCGATCCAATATAGATTTCACCATTAGAAACTATATCAATGTCTCCACCCATGGAGTCCCACCACCGACGACCAAGACAAGCCGTCTCTGTTAAGAAGTAGACAACATAACAATCTTAACATGAATAAAGCGCCCAACTTTATTCTCTCGATTGTGGATCATAAGATTTAGACTATCATCTTTAGATTCTTGTCTTTTGCATGTTCTTCACATTACATGCATGACCTAAAGATTTAGAATGACAGTCTCAGACTTTTAGTTTGCTTATTATACATTCAACTATTATGAACATAAAGAGGACAATACATAGATATAGGAAATAAATACATCTTTATTAATAGTCAAATTGTCTCAAAGAATATTGTTACATTTATTCCTAAGGGCATAAACGCTAACACTTCTGTCTATATATATATATATATATATTGGTGTGTGTATATGCGTGCATGTGTATAGTCAGGTAATTTCTATAGAAAAAATGTCTACTTCCATTATGGGTTTATGCATTTTTGTTTCTTGTCTTCCAATTCGATCTTTTTGTCTCTCTCTCTCCGTTTCTTTCCTAATTAATTTTATTTCTTCCAGTAATTTTGATTAGGTTTTTCCATTTTCTAATCCTTTCTACAGATTCCAATTTCAAGAAACCTCCCGCTACCCTAATGTGAGTAGAAACTTTCGTTTTCTTGGTGCAAAATGGATTTCAATTTCTTATCAAGATTATGGTATTTATCTTGGTCTATGTTTGAGTCTTTCTTTCTTCTTATATATATATATTTTGTCATTGTCTAGTCTCTAAGCAGGTCAGTTTCTATCAAATATGGACATGAATGCAAATTCCAGTCATGTAGTTCGTGACTCTGGTGAGGCACATGAATCAGAGCTTCTCAAGAACAAAGAGCACTCGGGTGATTCATCGAAGGTAATACTAATTTCGTTAATCTTTTAATTACTCTCTTGACATTCCAAGTATAAATTGATGGATTTGACGTAATACTAATTGTGATAAATACTAATTTCGTTAATCTTTTAATTACTCTCTTGACATTCCAGGTATAAATTGATGGATTTGACGTAATACTAATTGTGATAAATACTAATTTCGTTAATCTTTTAATTACTCTCTTGACATGTATAACTAAATGGGTTTGACGTAATACTAATTGTGGTAAATACTAATTTCAATTGTGGATTGAAGTAATACTAATGGAAGGAAGCACATTGAAATTTTTCTTTCTTTATTTATTTTTTTTTAAAGTTTGGTTCACCGGCCGGTTCATGAAATGTCTTATTAAATGATTATACACACGCATATATGCACAATGTATATCTAGGTATATTATCTTTACATGAAGGCTTTCTAATATGAACATATGAGTTCTTGATATCTATATACATACATACATACATACACACACACACACACACACACATATATATATATATATATATATTCAAAATACTGCCTAACTAGTTTCTTATACCCCGTCATATACCGGTTGACACGTATTAAGGTTCACTGTTATTGAATGTCTTTGAATGATTATACATACAATATATATATATATCCAAAACAGTGCCTTAGCCATATATATATATATATATGCATGTATGTATATGCATACATAAGCTTTTCTACCGCAGGTGGTTCATGTTTATGAACGTATGAGTTCTTGATAAAGATTTAGTTGAATATATATACATATAGATATATATATATATATATTGCCTTAATTACTAGTTTTTTTTATACCCTGACAAATATTTTCACTGCATATACTGACACATATACAGGTTTTTGTCAGAAAAACATTAATCCAGGTGCAAATAATTTTTAGCTAAAGAATATCAACTGCGAGAATAGCTCCGAGCAAGTTAGTGAACTTCCCAAGGAAGTTCGTAATCTCAAGGTATTAGTTTGTTACAAATTTTTGTTTTCTATTGCAGTAATCCCTTTCCTAACAAGGTAATTTGCATATTTGGATCACGAGTCGCTCATAAATGAAATGGTCTTGTATGTATCAGGAAAAGAATCCAATTAGTCCACAAGATATATATTGAGCCAAACATCGTCAACTGCGAGACCAATTCCGAGCAAATTGATGTTTCAAAGGTATATAACTATTTTCTGCAATTTTTTATTTTTTATTTTTTAAGCTGAACTTTCCTGCAATTCTTATATTTATAAATTCTTTTATTAGTTAACAAAAATGCTTCTAATCTATTTCTACAATTTGTTTCGCGTTTCAAATATTTTGGTTTTCTATTTTTGTGAATTCTTGCATGGTAAAATTTTATGCCGATTATATATATATATATATACACACACACACACACACACATTACTTAACATAGTGTGACTATTGTGTTTCTAATTTATATT